GCGGCTTTGTGGCCGCCTGTGTGTGTGTTTTGTCGTTACGAAACACATATAAAAAGTTTTTTATTTGAAATTTATTTAAGTTTTGCTTTTGGGAAAAACAAAAACAGCTTGACTTTATTTAAATTGTTTAAAAAGCCAACCGATAAACTCAACTCTCAGACCAGTTAGGTTAGCAACACACAAGATGTGTGTGGGGGGGACGGACAGCGAAGAAGAAGCATTCGGGGGGACTTTTCTTAATTCTGGTATTCCGCCGCTTGGCTTGGCTTGGCTCGGCTCGTTAATTGACCCACTATTAGTGGTAGACCCAAATTGGTTTCTCACAAAGCTGGAGATACTACACCATATATTGTGGCTCCCTTTGAGCCCTGGACATCATCCGTTTATCGATATTTGTTTTGCAATCCTGCTCCATATAAAATGTCAACAGGATCTCTTCGCGAACCTCGCCATGCCCCCAAAAATATGTGTCTTACTGAAAAAAGGAATGGGGAAACGTGTGCCGGTAGTTTTTTTTTTGTTCATATCCTCCTCATCGTGCCGTTTTCTGATTAAATTCAAATTGCTTTTTATTGACGATTTTTATATTTTTTTTTTTCGACGAAAACCAGATTCTCTGACGGTGGAGCCCCAGTGGAGCAGGGGCTCAGGTCAGGTTCATTAAAACAAAGCTTCGTAGAAAAAACACACACACTAATTCCAAAGTGGTTTCTTGGCTGAAACAGCTGCTAAAAGCTTTCTTTATCCAACCAGCCCATCCATCCCGCACCATCGATTAAGTGCGGTAATTTTTGTTGTTTTAGTTGCGGCTTTCAAATTAACAGATAACACTCTGTCCACGTAAATAAGTTCGAGACCCACACGCAACCCGCCGAACATTACTAATCTAATCTGAAGTAGTGTGTGTGTGTGTGTGTGTGTGTGTGCCCCCAGATCCAGATATGTGTATGTTGAAATTCCGATTTATGCCGATTCACGGTCAATGTTTTTCCGATTTCAATTCCTTCTCCTTTACTCTTTTCGTATGTCTATTTCAAAGAGAGATAGAGGCCAGGGAACGCTTGAATTACGCATTTCCGTTTAACATTTGGCTGTGGTTTGATGTTGTTGTTAAAGAAGCACATTCTGAATTATGCAATGATCTGATCGCTTCGAACTGGATATGTTTCAAATCGGTCATTGAACGAACACGGTTCATTTGTTGTGTCGATTCTTTGGATGTCTTGAGAGAGAGGGAGAGAGAGTTCTCGGGGCTGTCTGTCGTTCATTTTCATGGGGCCACAAGTTCAGTGTACCTTCCTTTTTTTCTTCTTTTTTTTGTTGTTGTTGCCCCGTATTCTGTTGTCTTTATTTTGCCAAAGGCGTCAGAGTTCAGCGCTCCAAGAAGCTTAGGATATGCCTGCCGCTTGTCTCATAGGTTTTTATTATTATTCTGGGAAACAAAATAAATTGTTACTGATTAATATCAGGCTGTGCTTTTTCTCCGAACGATAGAAAGACGGATTTTTCATGAAAAGGCATTTATTTGTATATCTGTATATGTATATGTATTTGTTTATTGCTTTCGATTGTTGAACTTGAAATTAGAAGCACGCTTAATTCGAATATTTGTGGCGAATCTATGAAACATTCTCCATGTCGATACTTGATGAGGTGCTATCGATACTCGGCAATGCGATATGTTTTATTACATACTTAATCGTGCATCCCTAATCTGTTGTAAGCTTTCTTCTCTTCGTGTCGGCAACGGGCAGTGTTTCTTTTGATGGCATCTAACGGTTAATAACCTCTAACGGGGATAATATGCAATTGTCGGAACCAAGCTGAGAATCGAATCGCATGTGCGAGACGACGGCATTTAACACCTTTTTGTTTTTATATAAAATATTTATTTTTCATCATAAAATATTTCCTTACTCAATTTGTTGTTGTGTGATTCACATACACGCACAGGGAAAGAGAGAGAGAGAGTGAGTAAGAGAGTCTCTGTCTCTGATATACGCTCACGCAGAGAAGGCATTTGTGGGTGCTGCCGCTGATGTTTTTGTTGTTGGCTGTCATTTCTGGACTATAAATAGCTTAGCGCTGAAGATAAAATTTAAAATATTGCCATTTTATTATATAAAACAGAAGTGTGTGCGTGTGTGTGCATGTGTGAAAAGTTGGCTCTCCCCCTCTCTCTCTACCCTCTCTTTCCTGCTGGGGCATGTGTATGCGTTTTGAAAATGCACCATAATGGGGAAAACCACACACAACAGAAATATTTGTATATGTGCACATGTATGTACATACATATGTACAATGTCCAAGGCATTTGGGATTCCCGTGTGGGCAATTACCAATAAGGCGGCCGTCCTCGTCACAGTCCCCCTCTGTGTACGTCCCCTTTCCATTCTGTTTGCCATCATTATCTGCTCTGGCAATTGATTATTCACTTCACACATACTTGCGTGCGCACATGAACATATGCATGTGTAGTACTCAAAAACACACATTTGTACTTAGCACCGAAGCCGTTATTGCTCTCAGCTGTCGCCGTTGTCGCTTGCATTTCAAGCACTGTTATTTTTTAATAGTAGGTGCAAAGTCTGGCAGGGCTGCCAGATCATCTTGTCCTATGATAACATCAGCCAATACAATGCCCAAGTTTTGGCCAATGGCTTGCATCTTGCATTGGCACCACGTTTCCAGCCGAGACACGTGCAGTGATAAGCCAGTCCCATTCAAAGTGGTTAGATAGCATTTTGGTCGCATTTTTGCATGCAGCCCTGGTGGGTCGGGAATGCGTGCCTGCGTGTGTGTATGTGTGTGTGTGTGTGTGGTAACCCCGTAACTTCTGCCATGATTTATCAGTCTCTCGTCCTCTCGCTCCGACACAACACACAAGTGAAACCGATTATGGTACTATTTATAAAGAGAGACCGAGACCCATTGCTAGAGCTGCCTTACCTTCTTATTACTAAACCTTGTTTTTGTTTTTGTCTCACTTCCTCATTCATTTGACATTGTTATCGGTGGTTTGAGTAGCTCTTCTTCTTCGTATTCTTCTTCTTCTTCATGTGGTTGTTGCTGTTGTTGTTGTTGCAGTGTCAAAGAATCGCTGCACAGGGGAACAGTACAAAGAAAATTATTCCACACAGCTGACAGCTGCTTCATCTATTTTTCACCCATGAGATACATATGTATGTATGTAGATACGTATATAATATATGTATGTTCGTATGTTTGTACATACATTTATTCATGAGAATGCATCTCCATCCCTCTCCAGTTTTCTTTTGAGCATTCCATTCCTATACTCTCACGTATTGTATTTTATTAAAGTTTCCATTTATGTGCGAGTATTGTTTTATTGTGTGGCGGTGGTTGATGGCCGCGCTCGGCTCCTGTTGCCTGCGGGCCAGCTGTTGAACAAGTCGTCCTGCTCCGCCATACATACGAGTATTTTTTTTCTTTCTTTTCCTGTACTTGTGTGCATTTCCTCTGCCTGCCTGCGTATCCTTGGCCTTAGTGCTCCCTCCCTCTGATGTTTGTCCTTCTTACTCGCTCCCTTATCTTATCCTTGGCCTTCCGTCTCTCTCTCTCTCTCTCTCTCTCCCTCGGCTTATCCTTCTTCATACACCTCTCCCTCTCCCTTGCTTGGAGAGTGCATTGGCCTTTCGTCGTTCAGCGGCTCTCAATGCTATTTAAGCGGCATTTTGTGTTGTTCCTGTTGTTGTAGCCAAACGAAACTTGAAATTGTGTTGCTGCTGCTGCTGCTGCTGCTGTTGCTGTGGTGCTCCTCTCTTTGTTTCGTTTTCGCGTTTGTTGTATTTGTATTTGGTTTTAGCTAATTTGTTTAGAGTTGACTGCAAATTTGTTACTACTGAGGCACGAACACACAGCCGCGACATTGTACATATTTATGTATGTATGTATGTATAAATGAGTTCATAAAGTTTTTACCTTGACAAAGTGGGGTTGCTGCTGCTTTGGATAGTTTCGTTTGTGTGTGTGTGTGTGTGTGTGTGTGAGCTTATTTAAAAGTGGGCTGTTTCTGTGCATCCTTGTGGGAAAACAGAGGGGAGATTCTTCAAAGGAAAAAGTTGTTGTGGTGCTTCCGGAGATCCCTTGTTTCCTTACCAGTCACTTTATGTGATCAGTTCTGCCTCTCTCTCTCTCTCTTCCTTTCTATTTTTGGTATCTGCTCGTGCTGGCGATTCCAGATACCTGCCTACCCCCTACATTTTTGCTTCCTTCCTCCCCACCACGACGGGAAGTCCCAGTTGAAGAGCAGCAAGGTGTGCGTGCGCCCTTGACTGTTTTACCCACTGGCAAAAAAAAGAAGTAATAAACGAAACAAAAATAGAGTTTCATTGTTGAATACAAACACACTGCAAAACATTTGCAGGTACAACGGTGTGAATGTGTGTGTGGGGGAAGGCAGAACAGAACTGAGATAAGCCCAGCCAGGCCAGAAGAGAGCATAGACCAAGAGAGTCGGCAGTCACAACGGTAGACGAAAACGTCAACAGACAACACGACCAAGCACGAACAAAACGAAGACACTACAAAAATGTGAACGCACACACACATGCAAAAGGGAGCACCCGCTACGGTAAATCTACCTGAAAGCGGAAAATTTTCGTATGCAAAAATGTCAAAAGTGAACACAACCCCCCAACCACATGCAAAAGAAATATGACGGAGCGAGTGTCTGCACTCTTTTTCGTGTGTTCGTTTCCCAAAGAGCGCCTTAAGAGAGTCAGCGACAAGAGAGTGAGAGAGAGTAGCGAGAGCCTACGTAGTGGGCCTGCAACGTAAACATAAAACAGCTGAGTTTTTCAAAACGTATGATCGTTAGGCTCCGCGTAACGCGAAATAAACAGTAAAGTAAAGGAGAATTACGGAAGTGGGAGTACGAAGCGGATGTGTGGAGCGGAGCTGGAAAAAAAGACAAAAGTGGAAATTCACAAGTGTTTTAAATAGAAAAATTAACAAAAGGTGCTTTTTCTTATCAGAGTGTAAAGTGAAAATAAGAACATTGCAATATTCCAACAACAAGAAACGAATCAAAACGTAACAGCAGAAATCAAAGAGGACGACGACAAGCAAAGGCACAGTAATCCAACAATCAAGCAACTACAATAAGCCCAAAAATAAGTACGAAACAATTCTAAATATGCCATAAACGTGATTTTAAACTAAAGTTGGTCACAATTTTATAGACAAGACCAACAGTCGCCGCAGCTGCTGCAGTAGCCCCAATAAAAGCGTCCGTCGTCCCATTTGAAAGCTTAAAGCACCTCTCCCCATCGCACTTTCCAACACTGCTCTGTGGAGCCTAAGCAGGCAGTGAGCGAGAGGGCGAGAGCGAGCGAGCAACAGCTGATTGGGATAGTTGCTGTGCTGCTGTTGGGGAATCTGCGCAGAGAGAGAGAGAGCAAGAGCGAGAGCGAGAGCGAAACTACTACGTGTGACGTGTGTGGGGGCATACAGGTGGCAGAACAGCTGTTCCAACAACAAAAAAGCAATACAACAAATATCCATTTTTCTAGAATATCCCATTGTAAGTACAGAAGTGCATTGTCCTTGTTTACTTTTCGTTATTAAGCTGAAATATTTTCTTTCATATTCTGTACCTGCACCTAGACCCCGACTGCAGTTGTTCCACGTATAAAGTAAGCTATTTGTTTCAATTTTTTTTTTGTCATATTTTTGCTAAGACGTGCGCTGACACACACACACAAACACACACATGCACGCATGCAGACTACACAAGAGAACAGGCGTAAGAGAGTCGTTAAGAAAAGAGAACAGGCCTTCTCCTGTCTAACGGGCAACGTTTCTGGCTAAGACATTGCCAAGTGCGCACATTAAATCGCAAACTTGTTTTCGTTTTTCGCTTTGCTCCACACGCTTCACTTACAACAAAAGCAACAACAGCAAGAGCCACAGCCAGAGCCAGAGCTGTGGCCGAAAGACAGCAAGTGATACAAGGCACGTACGTACGTTAATACATGGCCTAACGAGAGCCCACTAAGAGAGGGAGAGCCAAAAGATAGAGAGAAGAGCGACAGAGAGAGAGAGAGAGAGAGAGAGAGAGCCACCTCGACATCAGTGATCTGCTCCGTCGCACTCGTTGTCGCCTGGCCACAGCGGCCACGGGGCGGAGTGAGCGGTGTAATAAACGAGTGCACAGTGAGCAGAGCAGAGAAGAGGAGGAGAGGAGAGCAGACGACGGCGACGGGCAACCACTTGAAAGCAACTCGTTTCGATTTCATTTAGCAGATACCTTTTGTACGTTGATTAAGATACCTTGGGACTCACATACAGCCCCCCGATCCCATACAAAAGAAGGCAAATAAACTGCAATAAAACACAAGAAATCATTGGGAACCGAGTGAAACGTGTAAATAAATGTGAATCGGAACGTTAGCAATAAAGAAATATATGAAAATTCCAGTGCCAAGTACAAACAGAGATAGAAATACGAGAATTCCAAAACCGAAAATGTCTTGAGTAAAAGTGTAAAGCGAAATACATGTGAAATACACGCACGCATACATCAATAGCAGAAAGAGAAAAAAGTGGTTAAAAGGCATTCAAAATTAACAAAATATTTCAACTGAAACGTGAGAGTGTGTGCGTTGTTGTGAGTGTTCAAAGTAAAAGACATACACACACATATGTAGGCCTCCACATACATTCGTGCATACATATTGAAATACATATATATATATACGTACATATGTATCGATGTGCAACTAATATAGATGTGGACAAGAAAATATAATAAGCAGAGCCAGAGCCAGAGCCATAGCCATAGCCACAGCCATAGCCATAGACATAGCCAGAGGCAGAAGTAAAATATATAAAAATCGTAAAAACGTACAAACACAGATGATTTTTAGCAAAAAGCGAAAAGAAAAAAGATCAAGCAGCAGCAACAAAAACAACACAACGGAGAAGCCAATCAAAACAGCAGTTGTCTCGCTTCAACGCTCTCGCTGCGATCGACAGTGACAGCAGCAGCAGCAGCAGCAGCAGAAGCAGAAGCAAGGCAAGGAGCCGAAGCAAGAGCGAGAGAGACCAAAAGCAGTCACGGACGTGTGTGAGCAGAGCAGACCAGCATTGATTTGATTGCTGCTGCTGCTGCCGTCGTCGTCTTTGATTTTGCTTATGGCCGCCGCTGACTGACCTGAGAGCACCTCTTACATATGTACATGTGTATGCACTACACACATGCATAAACAAATACATTGACAACTGTTGGCACCTGGCGCAGGAGTCGCTGTCGCTGCCGCTGCGGTACTTTCAACAAGCGAATTTTACAACTACAACAAAAGTAACGGCAGCAGCAAAAGCAGTACCAGCAGCACACCCCCGTCACACCGTCCGCCTGCAGAAGCAGCAGCAGAAGCAACAGCAACAGCAACAGAGCAGAGCATACATGCGCCTACCTTAACCCAATTAAAACACCATATTATTTAACAAAAGAAATTGTGTTATTTGCAAAGAGCACACACATCGAAAGAAACAGACAGGCGGACAGCTAGAGAGAGCGAGAGCGAGGGAGAGAGAGAGAGAGAGAGAGAGTAATACAAAGCAAAGAGAGCGAGTACAACAATTGGGAGTGCAAATATCTACCAGAAGACTCTTTTTGAAAGTAGACAGACATATACAAAAAATATGTCTTCCATACGGAAGTGAAATTCTCAAGTGAAAAGGAAGCAAAATACAGCTATACATATACGGAGCGGTTGCGTTTATTGATCCTTGCCTGCATTTGAAAGAAAAACACTTTTTTTTTTTTTTTGTACAAAGCTCAGCTTAAAGAGCCAAAAGAGAGGAAAATATATCTGTGCACCTCTCTGCGTGTGTGTGTGTGTGTGTGCGTGTTTTTGAGAGTGCAATATATATATAAATACATATATATATATATATGCGAATGTGTGTGTGTGTCAAACTACACGTCTTAGCAACAACGAAATTCATTTTACGATTACAACATACTAAACTAAAACATTGTTAACTTGTACAGAAACATCAATCAAAACAACAACTGAAAATAAAAATCAAGTGAAGCAATCATCACCAGCAAGCAACAGCATCAACAACAAGCAACGCATCTTCCAGAAGCACCCTTCCAGACGTCCCAACGTTCCAATTTGTGCGCTTCCTTCCTTCCTTTGTACCCGTTTGGTCTATCACACGGGTCGGTTTTCCATTATTTTGCAACACTGGCTGGCCAAGCGTTCTGTCCTGCATCCTCTCACCTATTGCCATTCACCGTGCAACGGCACATCCTCCATCCACAGAAGGAACGGAACATTGAAATCACAGTTTGCACATCCATCCGATTGATCTGATCTGGTTCGATTCGATTTGCGGCTAATTGCGCGCACGTTATGACCAATTCGATTGCGTCAGCAAAATGCCTGCCCAATGCACTCTCGTCTGGCAATTATGGTATGTCGCAAAGCCACCGTTACACCGATGATAGCAAGGAGTACATCATAGTCAAGCTCACCGACTCCGCCTTCCGTGCAATCGAGGAATACCAGCGGGACGACAATGCCAAGCGCCTGCAGCCCGGCCAGCGGGCCAAGATCCAGTTCATTGGCAACACCGGCGTCATACAGTTCCCCTCCCGCCCCTCGACGACCGAGGGCCATAGCAGCAACAACAATGGCAACAACAGCAACAGCAACCTACCTTCTGGCGGCAGCAGCAACCCTGGTGGCAGCCACATGGACGCAAATGGCGGACGCAAGTTTGGTTTCACCATCAACAACATGGAGGGTACCCTCGAGTGCGTCCAGCAGCAGCAACAGAACCTCGGCGTCCTCGGTGCGGTCACGCTCCGGATGCGGATACATGCCAACGACGATGTCTACGATACGACACGCACGAAAATGGCCATTGCCGAGGAGACGGAGAAGAGCAAGTGCATACGGGAGATCAAGCCAAATCAGTCGGATATTGGGCGTAAGGTGAAGAAGGCCCCATCGTCCTCATCCTCCCTGTCCGGATCCGCTACGGCTTCGATGACGACGACGGCAGCATTTCATCATCACAGCAACAGCAACAACAACCACAGTGGGAACAACAACAGCAACAACAGCAGCAGCAGCAATAGTTTTAATAGCAACAACAACAACAACAACAATAGTCGTAAGTTAGGTTCATCGCCATTTAATGGTCTAGGAGTAGGAGGAGCAGGAGCAGGAACAGGAGTAGGATCATCATCGTATGCCACATCGTATGCCGCCGCCACAGCATCACAGCGATCGCCAAATCCGAGTACGCTGGGTGGCAGCGGCACAGTCAATGGCGGTGGAGCGTCGAGTCGCTACCACAGCAACACCAACAGCAACAACTCGGCCTCCTCGCTGGCCTCAACATTTGCCAATGGAATATCGCAGGGCTACAACATGAGCGGCAGCTCGCCGAGGGACAGCCAACCAATCAACAACAACAACAACAACAACAGCAGCAGCAGCATCAGCAGTAGCAACATCACCAACCACACAACAACCACAACCTCCGCCATATCCACCTCCTCGACAAACGGACGCAGCAAAATGGTTAGCGGAGGCGGCAGCAACTCGAGGAGCGGCAACAACAAGTCATCCGGTGGCAACAAGATGTCAGATGTGTCGAGGCGCACCATTCGGGAGCGCCTGATCCACTTGCTGGCGCTCAAGGCGTTCAAGAAGCCGGAGCTGTTCGCTCGACTGAACAACGAGGGGATACGGGAGCGGGAGCGCAACCTGATTACCAGCATACTCAAGGACATCAGCACAATGGCGCAGAACACGTACAATCTGCGGCGCCAGATGTGGAACGACGTGGACGAGAACTGGCCGTACTTTAGCGAGCAGGAGGTGCAGCAGCTGAAGCGCCGCAAGCCCCAGAATCTGACACCCCCGATGAGCTCCGATGCGGGCAGCTCGACCTCCGGCCAGAGTCCCACATCGACGCATACGGGAAGCCCACCGCCGCATGGCAATGGCGGGGGAGTGGGTGGCGGTGGCGGCGGCAGCCTGAAGCGCACCAGCCTAGAGTACGACGAGACGATGTTCAGCACTGTGCAGCCGAAGAAGCAGCGCATCAGTCACTACAAGAAGGACACTCCGCCCTCGGCCACATCGTACCCGTCCTCCTCCTCCGTGTCCGTGTCTGCCTCTTCCTCCTCATCGAACCGGAACCGCTACACGCCACCGCAGCGACAAGGGGGTCCGCTGGACGATCACACAAGCGGTGATCTCAGCTACAATGTCCTGGACAACATGGAGGAGTTCATGAGCTCAACGGCAGCGGCGGTGGCGGCAGCGACGCATCAGCAGCAGCACCCGAGGAGCAATAGCAGTAGCAGCAGTAGGCGTGGCAACTCCTCCCAAAACGGTGGAAGCGGCAGCGGCAGCAAGGACAAACGCAATTCAACTGGCAGCAATTCCAGTAGTTCCAGCGGCTATGAGACACAGCTGGAGCGCAATCGGACGACGACGGCGGCGACGGCGAGCATGCCAGCGAGTCGCAACAGCAAATCCTCGACAACGCCGCCCAAGCTGGCGACCAGCTTTGTGCCAGCAGCCACCGGAGGGGGAAAAGGATCTGGATCTGGAGGCAAGCAACGTTCTTCGGCGGCGGCTAATCTGCCACTGCAGCAGCAACAGCATCAGCAGCAGCAGAGCGACTACAACTCGTACAACAACAACACCCATGCGGCCTCCAACAGCAAGAAGCGTACGAGTAGTGCATCATCGTCCAACGACAGAGGCCAGCGCCAGAGGAGCTCGAACTCAAGCTCAGGCTCCTATCAACAGGTTCCACCTCCCTCCTCCGCCACCGTCTCCCGTTCCGCATCGGCGTCGTCCGTCCACCAGCACCAGCAACAGCAGCAGCAGCAACAACAGCACCAGCAGCACCATAGCCATCAGCAGCAGCAGCATCTGCAGCAGCATGGAGCTTCGTCAGCCAGCAGCGCCCAGCACCCATCGCCCACACAGCAGCTGGCGGCGGCTACCCATGCGTATGCGAACGCCGATGCCGATTCGTCCTCGAGCCCACGCTACGACTTCAGCCAATACGTTCCCATACATTCACTGGAAGTACGTAGACGCTACAAGACTGAATTTGAGAGCGACTATGATGAGTATCGCAAGCTGCTGACCCGCGTCGAGGGCGTGCGCAACCGCTTCCAGACCCTCTCTGAGCGCATGGACAGCGCCCGGCGTAGCGACAACGGCTGCGGGGACTACGATCAGATCAAGCGCCAGATTGTCAGCGAGTACGAGCGCATCAACAACGATCGCACCATCCGCGAGGACAAGCAGCGTTTCGACTACTTGCAAGCCAAGCTGGCCCACATCAAGCAGCTGGTTACCGACTATGACCAGACATTGATCACATTGGCGGCTACGCCTGCTCCAACGCCTGCGCCCGCACCGGCACCGGCACCGGCACCTGCTCACGCTCCTGCCCAAGCACAAATGGCGGCGCGACACGCGGAACAGCAGCGGAGACAGCAGCAGCACCATGCGGTGGAGACGATAGAACAGCATCATCCTCAGCAGCATCATCCTCAGCAGCATCAGCATCAGCAGCAACAGCCACAGTCGCAGTCGCAGGAGCCTCAAAGCGATTCGGATGACAGTTCCGAAAGTTCGGATTCCAACGATGATGATGATGATGATGAGAACTGCGAAGATTCCAACTCCAATACCGACGACGATCAGAACCGCGACCGCTACTGATACACACACAACTACTTCGATGATCCGCGTAACCCTCCCTAACCCAAACTCCCTTTAACCCCTAACCCCATGTAAAAAGGCAAAACAAACAAACAAACAAACAAAAAATGAAGAAGAAAAGGAAACTATTATATACATAAATACAACAAATACTATTATAGTAGAAACATAATACAACAAACAAAAACATAAAGAAACAAACAAAAAATCAACAACAAAATACAAGCGAGCGAGACACCGCGAGAAAAACACCAAGCAACAAAAATGTTCTTCAAGAAATTGTACTGCAAAAACACCAACAAAGAAAAAACAAATGTTGAAATTACGGAATATGTTAAAAGAAAAATATATAAAAAAAAATTTAAATAAAACAAACAAAAATACACACAAAAACAAAGAAAACCTTTCGCTTAAAGATACTTTTTATCGAAACGAAAGATGCATATATAACTTGTACACATATATGAAACTATTATATATATAAATATAGCAGATGCAGGATGCAGGATGCAGAATGCAGAACGTGCAGGAGGAGACAAAATCAATATTTTTAAACGCGTTTGAGCAACAATTTATACGAGTTGTAGACTTAGACATTTTTTTTTTTTTTTTTTTGTTGTTGAACATCCCAGACCAGACATGAGAGCAGCTTGAGAATAAGATCGGATCGTAACTAAATGAGAAGAAATAAAACACACGCGTGTTGTGTGTGTTTTTCTTATTTTTGCTTGCGTTTATTGTGTGTAATAATAATTATTATATTATTCTAATTATATCAACTTTTAAATATAGTCTGTATGTTTTTCGTTTAATCTAATACGTTTTTTTTTTTATTTTTCTATCTTGATTTCTGTTTTATTTTTTTGTTTTGTTTTTTTAACATTTTGTTACAAACGGCAGACAACACACGGACACACACACACACTCATACTCATCCACAAAATTATTGCATTTTTTCGGGCATAGCTTTTGGTTCTATAGAGAGAGAGAGAGAGAGAGAGAGAGAAAGAGCACAAAATGGCCGTAATTTACAGTTGCAAGCACAGTCATTACATGTAGAATGTAGAAACACATGTAGATGCCATGTGGAATGTCATGCAGGATTGACCCGTAGACTTCCGCCGGAATTGACTGGAACTGGCAGCACAGCAGCAGGGCAGAATTGTACTTCAAAAGTACTACGACAGCCGTGTGTGTCAGTCTTTCAGTCAGCTCCTGGTGGAATACGGCCCGGCCCTAGGGAACTGTTGAGAACCAAAACTAGCACTTGATATTGAGCCAATGTTTGCCAAACCATTGAATTCCGTGAATGACAGACAGAGACATAAGGATACACAGAGAGCACCCAAAGAGGCAACATTCAATAATAAATATATTTTCCTTTCGGTGTTGCGGCAGGCGGGGTTGATGCGCGGGTGTTGCATGCGGGCGTGCCTCTAACAATAGACTGAACTTTTCTAACGACTTGTTAATTTCTAGCGGCTTTTTTAGTAAAAATTATTCGTCTGTTTTTAATCGATAACTAGTTAATTTGTAATATATACATATGTTTTTTTTTTTTTTTTATAGCCACAGTAGAAGTACAGGTCCCCCAAAAAAGATCCTATCTATCCGTTCTAATTTTATTTGAATTATTTTACCACAAGCAGAGAGACAAAGAATATTTATATATATATATTTTTTTTTGCGGGGTGTTTAGAAAATTCACATTGCTCAAAAAACTATGATTGAGGGAGGGGAGGACTAATGGAAAGGATATACATTGCATACTTAATGGTTGTATCAGAGCTACTATTGCGGCCCTCTTTTAGTTCGTAGTAAGACCAGACCATACCCAGACGCTTCCTTAAGTAACAGTAACAGTAAAAGTAAAGGTAACGGTAACGGTAACAGTTAAAGTAAAATTGAAATTGTCATTGTCGCTTGAGAATTATCAAATAATTTGCTGAAAACTCTACTAGTGTCCAAAATGATGGGGAAGGGAGGAACGATAGGGTAGGGAAACGAAAGCATAACAAAGCATAGGATCTAACACGAAATTGTAAGTGAAAAACAAAAAACCGAAGAAATTTTAGCTATTTCGTTGCAATATTTTTTATATACGATATTTAAGTAGAACTGTGGGGGGGAAGAATTGGGGAGAACGATGATAAACGATAAATGATAAATGACGATGATGATTGATGACAAAAACGAAAAGGGGAAAATCAAACGGAATAAATCGATTCGTAGCAATTACAAAAATCATATATACAATTTATATACAACTAAAAATTATATATATATTATATACAACATTGACATTTGATAAGTAAAGCAAACAACAACAAAAAAAAAACATACGGAAACTTACTAGTTTTTATATAAATGCCACGCCCACAACGCCCACACACACACACCACACACACACTAACACATCAATTGATGAGAAAAAAAAACAATGAAGGAACTTAATAAGGAATATAAATGAAGTGAAATGAAATGAAATGAATGGAAAGTGAAATGAGAGTCGAGTGCGTGCCGGAGTGCCGTGAGAGAGGAGAACGGAAAAAGTTAAGAGTACGATTACGAAGGAGTAGACCAGATCAAGAGACATGAGAGAAAAATATTATTATTATTATTATTATTATTATTGCTATTATTATTGTATAACTAAGAGCAAACACCGCTGACAAGACCAGCAGAATGAAAAATCTTACAAAAAAACGAGATATTGTTATATACTAGTAATGATTAAGAGACCACAAACAAACAAACAACAAAATGAAAAACGGAGAAACAACAAAAAAAAAACTTGACAAAAAAGCAAAAAAAAAAAAATAGAATCAAATAAAATATTGAATCGAAAAAAATACCGCCGCTGTTTCCTTTTTTTCCCCCCCTCTTTTCTCCTTTTGATTTCCACATTTGAGGATTAGGTGGCCTCCGTCCTTGAGGCGCGCGGCACTTGAACATGATCCACGGTAAAGCACAGATTGAGTGCGTGTTTTATTTTGGGAATTTCCCAGTCTCACAACCTCTCGCTAATTCCATAATTACTGAAAACTAATCGACATTGTTTTATCCCCATTTTCTATCCCCATCGCATCGTTTAGAGGAAGAAGAGGTACAGGAGGAGAATGCACCGGTGGCGGAGCTCTCCAACGACTCCGATGCGCCACTGAAGCCGAACGTGAGTATTGTTAGTATTTCTTTATCTACAAATATTCTATATACTATACTATACTTCTGAGAGTCCCACCTTGACATGGCCAATCTACAGATAGAACCACAGAAAGCTTAACCTTCATCGCGAATCAACGATCGTAAACGGAATGATACTGAAGGGAAAACCAATTGGGCGGGCTCCTAAGCAAGCGATTTACCATAGTGTACCTCGAGTCGCCTGCTCGACTCTCTCTGAGCATCACGCACACTACATGTATTTTGGCATTCTCTTTCGCACCTTTCACTTGTGCGTCTGGCCTCCGTTGTCTCGGATCTTCTTGTTGGAAAAATCCATTCCCATTGGGAAGATATCTATATCTCAATATACGACTGAGTGCTGGGGTTGGGGTTTGAATTAGGAATGATACTAATACCATATGCGATATGTTTATTATTATTCTTTTTACTACAAGGCCTTGTGGTACTTCGACCATATATTACTCCTTTGTACCGGCCGATAGGATTATGTGGAAGAACTGTATATATCTTTGGGCGTTTGTTGGGTCTTATTTCCCAACTGTTGAGATATCCTTCTATAGAGTGCTGGGAATCCACATAGGATGTGTTCCTATGTCTCCTGCTTTAGTTCAAATAATCTACATGGCACTATGTCTGTGAATTTTAGTTTCTTGAGCTGATATTTCAGTGACAGTGCCCTGCAAGTCCGAATGTCGATGAGCTGTCGCATCGAGTTCTTCTCCGGGATGTGAAACTTCTTGGCCTTCAGTTTCTCGTTTCTCTTTCTGGCCATTCCCCGATAATTTCCGATCTGTGTCCGTCTTTTTGTGAGTCCACAGAACGGATCGGTGCCGATTCATGGGCCATTGAAGGATCGGAGCGCTAGAAGCGCTGACTGAAGATGTGAGTGCCTCGCATTCGTCGGGTTGGTGATTCTCCCATGGCTATGGCTATGGACCCATCCGTGTACCAGATGCGAGAACCGGCTGGTGCGCAGAGAGCAGGCGTGTTCCAATCCTTCCCCTGCTGTCCTTTGGAACAGCGAAGGTTTTGAGAAAGTGCACGCTCGGTTCTTGGTCGTCGGAGACTCGCAGGATGAACATGTTCGACAGGCTTCCCTCTTTGTCAGATTATGTAGAGCTGTTTGATTAATTATCGATTTATACACATGCACTGACGCAGAATGACGAGGACGATGACTACGATCCCGAGGACAGTCGCAAGAAGAAGAAGGGCAAGAAGCGCAAGACCCGGAAGGGCGAGGAGAAGGGGCGCAAGAAGAAGAAGCGCAAGAAGAACGAGAGCGAGGAGGACAGTGACTTTGTGCAGCACGATGAGGAGGTGGAATACGCGAGCACCTCGAAGCGCGGACGCAAACGCAAGGAGGAAAAACAGGCGGCCATGGCCAAGGAGAAGGAATCGGCCGCATCGGGTAAGCGATCGAAAACTGACAATATTCCCACGAATATCGTATAATATCTCCTCTCCCCTGCTCTAACCCAGGCATGCCCTCCGTGGAGGATGTCTGCTCGGCCTTTGGCGTTTGCGACGTGGAGATCGAGTACAATGACGAGGAGCTGCAGAGCCTGACCACCTACAAGGCGTTCATGCAGCACGTGCGTCCGATATTGCAGAAGGAGAACCCCAAGGTGGCCGCCACCAAGCTGATGATGCTCGTGGGGGCCAAGTGGCGGGACTTTTGCGAGAGCAATCCCCACATCCTTCAGGAGGCTACGGCTGCGGCAGGAGGCAGCAGTGGCGGCCAGGCACCGCGCAGTGTGGCCGGCGATGAGCCGGAGGAGCCGCGTTCCTCGCGCTCGTCGCGCAACGAGAAGCCCGACGACATCTACGACGAGGCCGCCGAGGAGG